TCAGTCACATAAGATTCCTGTACATCAAGAAAATTCTACAATTAATACAATGTGTTAGTAAGCAACATGTGCATGTGAACCAAAGTCGCCGTAGAATGAATTTTCTTCGATTTAGAGGGGGTATCATATATGAAAAAAATAGTTCAGGTTAACGGGTTTACTATGTGCAGGTGGTTCCTTTTATAAGAAGCTTTAATACATTAAATTGTTGGCACACGGAAATTTCGTTCCGCAAAATTGCAATAATACACGCGATTTTCGTCTAGTATGAGAGGTTTAATCAAAATATAATGTTTCCAAGACCTCTCTTGCGTGCTTGCAATTCTGCCGATAACACCTTCCCACTTTTTCTAGTTCCTTCACTTTTTCCTTTTCTTGCAAGCGTATAATAGAAGAAACAATATAACAAAACCAGAGAATTGCTTTTACAAACATTAATAGAGACACGGGAGCTTTAGATCTTTATTGAATATTGAAATTCTGTTATTATTTGTATAACAAAGTTTGTTATACAAATAAATTAGCCCAAGTGAAAAGCTGGATAATAGATGGGTTTTTGAAAACTTTATTATACTGAATTTATATTACATCTTCGTTTATCCAAATTTATTTTTTTGTTACAAGCCATCTTCGTTCAATTGAGAGTTCATTAAAGTTTCACTGTGTATTTGCCTGATTAAGTAAACGTTTTATCAGATACACTGTGTTTGAATCTCTACACGCCTTTTTTGCTCAATAATACTTTTTGATTTTCGCGTTCTTCGTGATAAGTATCAAACTTGCCATTCGGGTATGCTTGTATGAAGTATATACATTCATGGCATGGCTTCGTTTTGCAGAAGTGTCGAGTTGCTTTATACATTTAGTATTATATAGTTTTGCCTTGTGGACGCCCACAGAGTAATACCCAAAATATTGAGAATAAGACTGGTTGCAAGCATACAAATTTTATAAAAAAAAAGGCAAAGTTCGAACATCGCCAGCTTTGTGTCTTAGAAATCAAGAATGTGTTTTACCCAAGAGTATTACTAAATTTATATTATTCGTCAGTTATCCCGAAATGGCCGCATAATGATTAATCACCAAGAAATAAAAATACTGCATATAATTTTCGTATTCTGGAATCTTTCTCGCCGGTCGGGAGTTGAGTATTATATCACACTGTCAAAAGATGATTGGAATAACTCCCATGCTCATTAACGGCCTCTGCACTTAAATAGTGATAACCGGTATAGTGGAATTGACGGTAAGCAGAACTTGTTGAAAGATGCAAAGCGAAACGTCTTGCTAAATCAACGGCTCAGTCAACCATAAAATAGAGCATATTAATATAATCTCTTCTCTCATTATAGTTCATCGGTAGGGGTGTTTGGATGACTAGCGATTAAATATATTATACACAACCAATGACAAAGTAAAAGTAGCTTTTTCCAAATATGTAAATCGCAACAAATTTTTATACTATTTTGAAGCAAACTAATTATATGTTTGAAAAAAAGTCATAGTCAGTCATTATCGTTTTAAGGCTATTGCGCGTTAAGTGTCGGTATTCATATATCTTCACATGTTTGACATAGATATTACCTTACTCATTCCTTCATTACAGTAACTTAAATGAACATGTAGACAATAAAAATTGTTTATATGTGATTGTATGTATGTTCTACATGTCAAATGAAAAAACCGCATATTTGTGTTTCTTCCAATTCTAGAATCGTCATGTGCAACTCGAACTATCACTTGCTTCAAGTAATGATATCTTCGTTATTAATATACGAAGAAGAAGAAGAAGAAAACGGACCAAACGGCGGCTCAACGGCTATAAAAAATTGCCAATACGAGTTGTTTCTCGAAAAGTGCCGATTCGTTACTATTACGATCTTGATTTATCGAAAATATTATATTCGTATGCTGTGTAACAAAATTTCGCCATCAAATTTCAAGAACAGTTCTTTAGTTGTGACAATAAAGGCATTTTTATATATAACGATTTCGGCCAAAGAGTCCCGTGGCCGAGGCTGACAGTGGTGAAGAGGTTTCACTGTATTTTTCCCGCCGGTTTTTTTAAATTCTCCCTCGCGCCATAGTCAAGTTAGGAAACAAAAATAAAACTGCCTTTCACTTACCCCTGCATTTGATAGATTATCTGCTGTCGAATTCATTACGCCCTATTATTTTCCCTCAGCCGTTCTCGCAACAATCAGTTTCTAAAATTCGGGTGTTGCCGAAACCCAATGTTGATGCGCATGTGTGCAGATAAAGTCTCGGTTGTAAGGCGGGCGTCTGAGAAACGCATTGGAGTTGCATCATCGGATGTGATAGTCTGCCGCAAATGTTCACCTGAGTAATGCGGGAAGCCTTGTCCATGCAACAAATAGTAATAGCAGCATTTCATTGCAGAGTACAAGTTATTGGTCGTCATAACTCGTCCGTGCGGATGATGGACACCTAGCCAGTCACTCTCGTGCATAACTCATATTAGCGAATAGAAATAGACCGCATCTGTAGGGTAATATATGCAATATAATATGCCTTATGAACTGTGGTAATAAACCCTAATAATAGTAACGGCTAATGAGAAGCGCGCGAGAATCGACAAGTTAGTCCAAAAACGTTTACCACTATTCTATATTAAGCATCCAATATTACCATATACAGACATAGTTTGATATTCGTACAATTTTGACCATATTTGGCTTGTGACAAAGAGATTATCTCGACCTTTCAACTATGTCTATTATTATCATAACAATTGGGTACATAATGACTTGTTTTACTTTTAAATCCGTCTCTTCAACATCAAATGATCGCATTACGGACTTTTGATGCCATAACGAAATGAGATCGATTTCTCGCTGGAGATAGAAAGCGCTTACCGAATTCAGTGAATCAATAATAAAATTTGAAAAAATTTTTTATTTTTTTTTTTCCTTTTTGTACCTCCTCAAAAACAATAACGAACCTTATTTAATAATGGAGCAAACACGGGGGAAATAGGAAAATGATGTCTTGTCATCCGGAAGAAAGAAAAAATTTTTTTCTTCTTTTCCTTTTTCTGTATGGGAAATGAATAATCAAAGAAACATGACCATCACATGCCAGCGTTGTTGTATGAATTATCATTGGCCAAATTAATACAAACATTAATAGGTAATTGTCAAGGCATTGACCATTTTTTTAACAAACCAAGAATTACGGCTTAATTACATGATTTGATGTATTTATAAGTCTTTTTGTATATTATTCAACAACCCGCTCAATTTGCGAGCAGTTGATGAAAATATAATAGGTAGAAATGTAAAGTAATAATAGTAATAGTAAAAGAGGGATGTGAATACCTATCACGCCCAGATACAAATTTACAGTTATAACACTCTAGCATAGGACAGATTCCCGCTATAAACACACTTGGTGTTTGTTTTCCAGAGTATTTACTATGTGATTATGCGGTGATTATTAAACAAAATAAATTGAACGTTATGTATATCTCCAATATGCAAAATATAAATGTTTGCAATTGGACGTGAGTTTGTGCATGGTAATAGAAAAGATTATAGAGTCCAATTAATTGAAAAAAAAATGATGAAAGTTTAAAGTCTACTTGGAACGTGACAAGTATTACTACCCACTATTCACAGTAATCAACATCTGATGAAAGCATTTCGTCAAATCACTTTCATAGACGCAATAGAGTATCCGACTTCTCTCACCAATTAACGACCACGAGGTTTCTCTTCCAATCCATTCCGTTCTCTCACATTAACAACATTCTCCAGAAGCACTACTTCGGGGAGGCCCAAATTCCTCGATCTCATTGTTAGCCACAGTAACCAATTCTGCACTAACCGTCCCATCATCAAATAAAAACGCTGCATCTTCTGGGACATCAAAATCATCAGTTGACACTGCGGCTGCGAGAGCATCCGGATATGTGGGGTATCGACGAGGTATAGGCGATAGGATGCGATGATTGTCGGCGGACGTGGAGATCGAGTGCAAGGTATGTGGAGCGAGAGGTATAGTATGACTATGACTTGTAGAATTTTGGGAGTGTAGGTGCGAATGGGGACTCAGGGTAAGAAATGTTGGAGATAATGGACCAGGGGAGTAAGAGGAAGTTGGATTCTGCCCCATTGTTGTTCCTGTATTACTATGCCCATAATACCCACTACTCTCACCCCATCCAACTCCATCACCATATTGTCTTCGGTCAATCTCATTAACGCTTCCGTTTGCTATTTGAGATGCTAAAATTGCCGGGGTCAGACTTATACTCAACGGTGTTATGGCAAGCTGCTGTGTAATAAAGCTCTCGTTTCTTCCATTTGTCGTATGAGAAGAAGATGGCGACGATGACTGATTTGATGGCAAATGACTACCGTTTAACGTATTCCCGTTTGCGGTTGTATTCCTAGACGACATCGACACGGGTGATAGTAATCTGAAACGAGGTCTTCTTTGATTCTGACGAATAAGAGTCACTCGACGGATAACATCATCAGACGGAGAGGGGGAAGATGGTATTGTTGGAGTCGAGGGAACAGTGGCAGATGACGGTTCTGAGGGTTGTATTGTAGATGGGGTGGATGTCTGTGTATTTATCGAAGGATTTCCTGTTGAAGAAGATGAGGAAGAAGAAGATGATGATGACAACGACGACGATGTTGATGATGATGATGATGATGATGATGGTATTGTCGTTGTTGCTGTTGCTGTTGCTGTTGCTGTTGTTGTTCTTGTTCTTGTCGTCGTCGTCGTCGTCGTTGCTGCAGCAGCTGCTGCTGTACTGGAGGGGGGTAAGTTAATACCGTTCCCATCACTCTCATCCATCATCCCATCGTCTCTTATTCTATTACTACCATCGCCACTTCGCTGCCTTCTCTCTATCCTCAGTCTTTGTGGTATAAATCCGTAATGCAAACCATTTCCTGTTGTTATACTTGGATTGTAAACACCTGGTATCATATGCACACGACTTTGACCTAGTAAATGTAGACTTCTGCGGGCATTCTGATTGAAGGAGGACATATCTCGTGTGCGGTGGAGATATTGCAGTTGTTGTAGACGATGAAGCTGTTGCTGGACCAAATTGGTAGAGAAGGATCGACGACGGTGACGGTCTTCAGAGTCTCCACGAGTCCTTGAAGTATCTGAATCTGGAAAGTGTGTGGTGGTTAATAAGAGGCGTAAGAGACGTGTGGTAATGAACAAAGTATATAGGCGTCAGTGCTAAAGGAGAGAGACTTTGATTCTACTTGGTCGTGTTTGAACATACACATTTGCGCATTACCTGCCGAGTCGCTTTGTTTAGAGGGGAGTTGTCTCTTGGCAATTGATGGAGATACAAACATAGGCAAACCCATGTTTTCTGTGATGTTTGAATGACGAGGAGGAAAAAGAGATGGGTAGCCGAAGTAATATACACAAGAATAGAACGGTATAGTTTGTCTACAAGTTTTCTAACCAATAAGTGAAGTTTAATAATCAATGTTTGGAAAAACAACAACAGCAGTGGAATAGTCTGGGTTGGGAAGAGGAAGGGGCTTATACTATCTTTTCTATTCGTATGAAACAAAGGTACATGATTTGGAAAGTGAGATATTTAATTCTGGTGATTTTTTTTTATCTATTGGGGGAGTATTGTTCAAACAGTCATGCACTGTGGGGGCTATATGGTAAAGTCATACAAGCGAGACTATCGGTATTTATCTCCTTTTCCTATTTCTTTTCGGAGATCAACCGCCCCCTTTGTTTATTTGTTTTCTGGGGAGGAAAAAAGGGGGGCACATGGTAATATATACGTGATAAAGTAGGGTTGGAATTTGTAAAAAAAAAAAAGAAAAAAAAGAAAAAAAAAACGACGCAAAGTAAATAAATAAATAAATAAATAACAATAAATATAGGTATACAGTAACATGTATATATAATATGAGCATATATTTCATTATTACAATAGTTAGTGTTAGTGTTAGTGTTAATATTAGTATTAGTATTAGTATTGGTATTATAATTAGTATTGGTATTGGTATTAGTATAGTTATATTGATACGGTTTTATACATACAATGCACAGAGGGGATGATAACATTGATTGGACATTTTCATAGTTTATTGGCGCATTAATAATTACATCCATCATATACATTGATAATTATGTGCATATTAACAATTAATGTGCTGTTCGTCATTGTAATTATATGTGTGATCAATCATTTATTGTTTTATTGTTCCAATTACTATATAAAATTGGCATATGATAAAATATCGCCGAGCTTATAGTGGCAATGCAGACAATAGAGACATTCATCTCACATAGCACACAGCACATTCACAGAGCGAATTGACCACACACAGCGACTAGGATATTTAGAGAAGATATTATACATTCATTTCGGTTACTCGTACTCAGCTCCACACCTTGTTCAACCTGTTCCCCAGTATTTCTTATTCTATAAAGACATTTACTATTGTATCCCAGAGCCCTCCCTTTTTTTTATTGAAACCCGCCAAAATTTTTTGAGTGGAAGAAAAAAAAATATAAAAATTTTCTTCTTGCATACGCCCTTCCTACTATGTTCACTTTTGTAAATTTGCAATTCCCCCCAATTTTACGCCTTCATGATGGGATATTAATATTTATAATACGATTTGATTGTTATTGTATACTTTGTCCGTATATATCTATTTATATGATGCTCCATTACAAAATCATGTTTGTGTATATTTGCAAAGCATACTTAAAGTGAACATAATGACACAGGGTTAAATTGTTAACCGCCGCACAGTGTCACAATCCCAGATTGTATACTTTCTTAATTGTTAGATATTTCCTTACAAGTAACATCAATCCCAGCGCAGCTATATCTATTCTATTACTACATGTCTATCTATATACATATCTGTCTTACTGCTTGTATATTTGTCTGTCCATATTCCCTCTATTTATGATTTACATGAGTCAAACCGGTTGGTAATTTCAGACATACAATGGAGTAGCCAATTAGGTTGTAAAAACCTCATTGATTACTGTACTTCCGTTATTATTATTATTATTATTATACTGTTAATACCATACCAAACAACAAAGCACCCATTCTTTGATTTTGAGTTTAACCAATAATCTCATACGTTCCTTGAAACATGTTAATAAAATCTCTATGCTTTATATAGGAAAATCTCATAATGAAACCGGTTAAGACTTGCTTGATAAGCAACAAATGCTAATGATCAAATTTCTCTCAGGTATTAATTATTTGGACAACGGACTTATTGCCTGTGATAGATTCTTTCTCATTCCTAGCAATACCACAGAATGAAAAGGCAGATTTTCCTTCAACCGCTACATTTTTGGATTTATCCAAGGGATGCTGACATAGACAAAGAAATGCGTGTGATGTTCTTCTGGTGAACATAACGATAATCATTGCTTCTTTGTATTTGCTTATAAACATACAGTGCGTTGAGGAAAATTGGCTTCATAGGTTCATAGAGACTGTTTCTTGTTTGAAAGCTACAAAGCAAGGCCTTTGCTAAGATAAAAAAACAAACTTTATTATAATTTATTCGTTTACCATTACCTGCTGACAACGAGTCAAATAAGATTGGTCAGAATTCATATAAGCTATTTCCCGCAATACATTTGGATTATCAACATAATTAAGATCTGGACTGTTAGCATTAGATAGCCAGTTCATAATCTAAAAAACTTTTACTTTTGGCAATCCGCTTTGGGTGCTAATACCTACTTTCAAACCCTTCTGGAAAATGTTGCTCCAAAACTTCTGTATAAACTTTGTATCATACTATGGATAAATGGGTTTGCGTTAGTAAAACCAAAAAATTTTAGAAAGAGGCCATACTAATACTGATACATACCAATATTGTAATTGTTTGTACAGCTAGATGTAGAAAGCTATTTTATCCGAAAAATAAGAATTAGTTTTTGTTGCTCAAACCTAGTTCAGCAAGAATTATCTACTTGTGTTAAATGAAAAAAATTTTTAACAAAAATTTAAAATAAAGAAAATTTTGAGTATGTTATAAAAGAACAATAAGAGATTATGGTCAAAACAAATCAAAAACAATGATATATTGATATGTCATGGCTTGTTAAGACAACAGATTTCAGTGCACAAAAATGAAAATTGTTTCATTGCTTTAGTATTAAACCAATTAAATTATTATTATATGGGGCAGACTGCAACAAAGCCAAACAAAGTAAACATTCTATTATGTGACATAAATGAGAGACTTACGCATGTGGCTGTAAAATTGACCAGTGTGACTGATGACATTCTAAAAAGCAATAATGGTGCTCATTCATAACTTATGGGCTTGTAATTTTAATGTTTACTTTATCATACCAGAATGTGATGAATATAAGATTAATATATATACGATTATCTATATAAAAATATTAATATAAAACTAATTACATTAAATCCACCATGGAACCAAAGAATTACGGCACTATTAGAAGCATTTTGAAAAAAGAACAAGGAGAAAAATTGCTCCATACGTTTTTAAAATCGATAATACCCAAACTCTCCAGGAGTATCTAGAAATTACTTATGAAATTTATCAAGAAGAACAGAAAATCATAACTACTAAACGAGCATTAACACCAACACCAACACCAACACATTATGAACGAAGAAAGAAATGAAAACTTGAAGAAAGGTAAAGGCAAGCAGTTTAACGTAAAAGGCTTTTGCTGATCGAACGAAAGATTGTTCCTTATAGTCATGATAAGAGACTGCTTAAGCGCATCCGTTGAGCTTTGACAACGTAAAATATTTCAATTTTTTCGTAAGCATAAAGTTTATTATTTCGATTATTGAATGCGCGCTCTTGAAAATGTAAATAATGTTAAAAGCACCAGAGTGATAAAAATACTCGGACCCAAAGCCATTGATGAGTATACGTGGGAGGCTGAAAAGTTTTGCGTGTGGCTTTCTAACTCGAGATTGCAACAGTCTAACTAAAAATTGGAATAATCATAAATGCGCATACATTTACGTAACTAATGGAAAAGAAGTAGAGATAAATTCATTATCTCATTGTCAAGAAACCGTTTTTTTGTAAAGCATAGTAAAACAACCGCGAAAAAATGAGCCGTAAGACCACACGACACTTTATTATTGCTTCTTAGAAAAATGGCAGAAATACGACTCAAATCTACGAAAAGTTGGTGAATGTAGAAGGGAACAAGCATTGTCTACCAACACAATTAGACGCTGGATTGCTACATTCAAAGAGGAGTAAGAAGTAAGTAAAGACAAGCTCGTTCTGGATGTTCTTTGGCGAAGAGAAATTGCCAAGGTCGAGGATTTTGTTAGCAATAACCTGCACATTTCTATAAAATTTTAGCCAACAAAATTAGTATTTTTTCTTGCATTTTGCATAGTGAGCTGAGCCTCCAGAACAACTGTTTCGTGACGTCAGGCTTCATTACGACAATGTTGCGCCACATAAGGCAACGATTATGACGGAGTATCTTCATAACGAAAACAAGTGAAACTTTCTCCCTACTTGCAGACTGTATTTTTTCCTAATCCTTCGAATAAAGAAACAACTGAGGAAAAAAGATTTGATAAAGTCGAAAATTTGGGAAATAGTTGTATCGACAATTATTATGAAATTTCTGGAAATAAAGGTCTACGCGCAAAACTTTTCAATCCCATTACGTAACCTATTCTTTGATCACTCTGGTGCAAATTTAAATTTCATTATCTTCTTTACTACTACTATTGTTAATAATATTGTCACGATCATCTATTTATTGACGCTTATCCATCCATTCTTCGATAGCTTTTTGTGTGCTCTTCCTCGGATTCGTTTTTTATTTTTCAACGTTGAAGCTGCAATGCCTTTTTCTTGCGTAATTCGCGGATTTCAGTTGCCATTTGATTAAATGAAAAGTTCGAGCCTTTTGTTAAATAAGAATTTTAAAGCTCTTCCACAAATTTTCAGTTTCTGATAAACACTCACGTTGGCCAATTTGTCTGCTAGTTTAGGTTTTTCTTCGGCTCCATTAAATTGATTAATTCATCAATTTTCTGATTTGTGATATGCAGATAATTTGATAATTTTATAATAAGCAAACATTTTAAAATCAGTTCGCGAAGCTTTTTCGTTTTTTTATAGCGAATCTTTTTGAGTCACGATATTCTAGCTAAACGTCATTAATACGTATAGTAACGAATTTCTGCGCATCAATTATCATTAGTCACATTCTGCATACGGAAAACATTGTGAAAAGGTCTAGACGTATCGCATCACGTAGTAGTAGCCATCAAAACTTACGAACAGAAATAATGAACGACTTTGAAGCCTTCCTCCAATTTCTAGAAGAGAACGGTCTTGCAGTTGTAAAGGAAAAGATAAGTAATAAGACGTGGGAATATGTTGTTGGGCTGGACGATAAAGAGGACTGGGAAGAACTTGGAGCATCACGTACAGATGCCAAAAGCATTGTCAGCTTCCTCAAGAGACAGCAGCCAGGTAACAACTTTGTGACTCGGGCGTTGGGGACATAGAGTAGTGTGTACATAGGGTCGAGTATGGGGAGAGTAATATGGGCTGTAATATAGTTGTATGGGAAATGTTACATATCTAACTCGAGCGCTGATATCCGGAACTACGTTGGGGCGTAGGATGAGCATACCTATCCATACAAAAACGAATAATTTCTATGTATGCAAATAGTAACAGTGAATGGGCCAACTACATTCGATCTTGTTCAAACCCTCGGGGAACCATTCACAACATTGCCATCCATTGCAGAACTTGAAAAAGTTCTTTTAACACCTCTAAAGAAGTATATTCCAACTGTGTCAACAATGTAGTATCAAATACTGCAGAAAGCCAGTTATGTCCTGAATTGAGTCAGCTTATTGGTTGTATGATTGAGACACCTATGCAGAAAGGTAGTTCAAACAACCGCATTTATCTCTGGGATATGTGAACTCTTGAAATCTTTTCCAAGTATATAGTATAGTCAGATCGACGTTCGCATTGATCGTTACAAAATTGATCCATCTACTGCCACCATGTCTGCTAAGTTCCTCTGTTGGTTGAAGGGTGTTTTAGTGTTTAAAGGGGAGGAAAAGGCTGATGAGGCAGACTTCGCAACTGCTGAACAGGAACTCAGAAATAAGACAAGTCAATGGAGGCCCACTCATTTTGCCAACTTGGACTACATTTTCTCATATGCAGCTGCAGGGCAATATATTGGGTTGGTCTATTATTTGTTTATTAATTTGCATTGTTGATGTTAAAGGTATATTTACATTTCAGGATATTATAATTAGGTTTATGCACTTGACAAAAGCACAAATTTGATGATTGTTACACGGCGATATGACCTCACAAATATAGCTGACCGTGTCTTAGTAATAGTAACTGCTGTTATTATAAACATCTTCCGTTGTTTTCATGAAATGACAAAACGGATACCTATTGCTCCCCTACGCCTATCTATATGATCACAACTCGGCGAACTTCACAGGTGGGTGAATCAATAGCTATGCTACCAGCTTGGGAAATTTTCTGATGACAATTTTTGTCTACTGTCATTGAATAGATCATTTTCTTTGAGGATTTTGTTCGAAAGAAAATACGCGGCTTTGGGACTGAGTTTAAGTAGCTAATTTTGATGTAAGGCATATTATAATTAATATGATTTGTGTGTTATTGTTGTTACTGTTTAGTGTTCAATGATTTTTCTAAGATCTCAAAAAGCTCTATCATGCTACAAGCAAACATAAAGGTCTCATCCATGCAAAATCCTTTCTAATTCCACCTATGTTGTTGATCTGCAGCCCTTGGGCTCAGTATTAGTATATACTCCATCGTGACATCCGATGGAACAATGTTATTCAGTTGGAAAATAGGGAATGGATTCTCATTGACCTAGAACATGCTGGAAAAGCAGGATCAGTTGATTACAAATTAACACATTGGCCTGACCAAGGTAAAGTGGAGATGTTTTCTCTTACACATTCAAGTGTGATCTTTACTTGGTGGGAAAACTTATGAATGATTGCAATGTAAGTTTGGATGAAATGCTAAAACCTTTAAAAACCATTTACTGGCAATGAAAAGAACCTTAATGGTACAAAATTTGCTCAATCATGCATGGATAAAAACTAATTGATTATTAAGGATTATGTTAGTAGTTATAAGAATGTATTTGCATTATAATAATAAATGAAGTTGTTCATGTTTATCTTGTACTTGGTGTACATTGTCCAGGTTATACTGTTACGGCGAGCTGATCGGCTGACGTCGATAGTAAGTCACATGGTAAAATCTTCCTCCGCAGTAATCAAACAATA